CGCTGTCGATCAGCGAACGGAGTCTGGTGAGAAGACGTTCAGCCGGGCCTCTTTTATACCCGGCTGGCGGCCGAATGATTTCGAATCGGCAAGCATCGGCGGTTTCGGCGGCGAGTCCCCCACAATACGGAATTTCGGAACGGTCGGGTGTGGGGGATTTTCGGCGGTTGACCGCCGCTGTTTTTGATAGGAAATTTATCGGCGCGCGATGCGCCCTTGGTGGGCTACGGACGATGGACGGTCCGTAGCCGTAACGATGCAGCGGGCTGCATCGTTACAAAAGTATGTGCGTTATCCTAAAAATCAGAGAAACAATATTTACAAGTATCCGCTATTAAACATGATAGCCCAGTAAACGAGAAAGTATTGGAAGATTAGAAATGGGATTGAAAGTTACTGAATTAAATAGAATTCAGCATCATCGTAAATGAATTACTCTCAGTAATTTTCAATCTCATTTCTGAACTTTAAATACTTTCTCGTTTACTGAGAGAAAAAACATTATTATATGAAAATGTTTTCTGTCGCATATTTTGTTAAAAAATTATATAATTATCGATTTTTGTTATAAAATGTTTAAATTGTTGATAAGTATTTTGCACAACTTTTTTTAAATTTATAAATGCATTATAAGTTATATAAAATAATATCTTTGTCAAAATACTTATGAACGCTACTGTAAAATATAATTATATCTAAATTTTATTTTCCAAATATATTACTAATGATTCATGCAAAAAAAAAAAAATTGATTTTTCCGACCCGTTACATCAGAATTACATCCCCCTTTAAATTACTTATTCAATGTGCATTCATTTGTCGCATTCGGTTAGTTTTTCTTGCTGATGTTTTTTTTTTCTCTGATAGTAATTCTTCGTTTTTCTTTACGCATGTAATAACCATGAAATTTATTTATCAGTGTGTAAAACTAAAGTATAATTTATATGCAATTTTTTTGAGAGTTTAAAGTTTCAATAAATTTGTTAAGTACTTGAATCTCTAGTCAAATTATTTGTAAAAAAATGTTGCTATCCATCTACTTAAAAGTATTAATATATGTTATACATTGCTCTGGCATGAATCACATCGCAGACTAAATTAATATAACAAAAATGTGGCATAAATTATTATATATTAATATATTATTATTATTATTATTACATATCATTATATTATCAGCGATTGATCGCTGATCTCAAACGTTCTTTCAATCGCTCTTAACCTCTCCACCTCGTTTTTAATCTCTTCATGTATAATTTTAATATAAAAAATAAATAATTATTGCATTAAATACACATAAACAAATTATGGAAATTTATCTTACAATCGTATAATTGTCTAAGCTGAAACTTAATAAAAAATAGAACAATTTCCTGAAAAATGGATATAATAATAATTAAAAAAAATAAAAAAGAAATTACCGAAAAATATTTTTGAAAGCAAAAAACAAATAAAAATAAAAAAAATTTAACATTGTTTTAAAATTTTGTAATCTATTCTTTATTATCGATGTCTCATCCGATAATTAAACAATACTTTTCAATTTTACCGCGGATGTTGTATTAATGATGATAAAGCAATTATGATACAAATCGGAAACAAATTCCAGGTGCTCTTTTATGGCATGAAAGAAACATCGCTTTCGGAAATATTTTATCGCATAGTTCAAGCATGCTTTACTCATTGCTGCGACGATATCGTGCTCGCGTTTTAACAACAAACGAGCTAATTACACCA